CTGTCTGTCTGCCAATACAATATATGTATATCTATCTATCTATCTGTTCATATATCTATCTCTATCTATCTGAGTGACTCCTCGTGACGTCATACAGGTGAGTTCATTAGTGACATGGTCTTACAGGTGGGTCGGTCATCTCGTGGTGTTCTGGGGTGGTGCTCAAGAGGTTGGGTCTTAGGCCACGTCGCACGCTCAGAGCTGTCTTGTTTACAGGCGAGGAGCAGCACTTTCTTGGTGGTCAGGTAGGTCAGGTCAGGTCAGGTTAGGTCAGGTGAGTTAGATAGGTCAAATTAGTATTTGTTGTTCTTTGTTGAGAGATATGATGCTCAATCAGTCTCTCTCGTGTGTGTGTGTGTGTGTGTGTGTGTTAGTAGAATTTAGACGCCAAATTATCAATATGCTGAACAAACTCATAAGAAAGTCATCATCATCATCATCATCATTATCATTATTATTATCATCATTTTGACCCCAATGAGACATCAAATCAACGCATACATTAGATGTCACAAAAAATACTAAGATTTTCTAAACCTATAATACCACCCTTCCCTCCCTCCTTCCCTCCCTTCCTCCCCTCCTTCCTTCTCTCCCTCCTTCCCTCCCTTCCTCCCCTCCTTCCTTCTCTCCCTCCTTCCCTCCCCAGGCTTACTTCGACAGACACCAGGACGAACGTGAGAAATATCAACTAATCCTTGAGTCTGACACTGGCACCTTCACCCCCCGCGGCCTGGCATTCACTGGCACTCAGAAGGCTACCTGTATTATGCGAGAGATTCTTCACCTGCTGCAACCCATTAATGCAACACAGGTAAGTGACGTACAGTGCCGGACAGGTGTACTAGGCGTGATGATTACATACTTACATACATACATTGATTCATACGTTAATACATACATACATACAATAATTCATGCATACATACGTATGTTAATTCATACATACATACATACATACATACATACATACATACATACATACATACATTAAGTGATTGATAGATAGATAGATAGATATTCAGTAAAACCGCCACAGAAGCTCACATTGTGTCAACCCGTACATTGACAGTGCAGGTACACACACACACACACACACATCAAGAGGTCAAGGGTAATCTGTGTATGTATGTATGTAATAATAATAATTATTATTTAAAGATTTATTAAGATAACATGGTATCCTGAAGGCTGAAAATATACAATGAACCCCTATTGCTCATAAAAACATAAGAAAATAAGGAGTCTGCAATAGGCCGGTTGGCCTGTGCATGGCAGCTCCTGTCGAGAGTTACTACCACTCTCTATCATCCATGAATCTATCCAGCCTCCTTTTGAAACTTTCCAGCGTTCCAGCACTTACTACAAAGTTGCTAAGCTTGTTCCACTCGTCCACCACCCTAGTTGTGAACCAGTTTCTTCCTATCTCCCTCCTAAACCTAAACTTATCCAACTTGAATCCGTTGCTCCGAGTCCTATCATGCTCGGATATTATAAGAACTTTATCTATATCGCCTTTATTGATTCCTTTCACCCACTTAAATACTTCTATCATATCTCCCCGCACTCTTCGTCTTTCTAGGGAATGCAAGTTTAGTTTCTTTAACCTATCTTGATATGGAAGGTTTCTAAGTCCCGGAATCATTTTCGTCATTCTTCGCTGCACTGACTCTAGTGAATTGATATCCATTCTATAATAAGGGCACCAGAACTGAACCGCATAATCGAGGTGCGGCCTGACTAGCGCAAGATATAGTTGCAATAAGACCTCTGCACTCTTGTTACTTACACTTCTAGATATAAAACCCAATACTCTGTTTGCCTTATTTCAAACATTAACGCACCGTTTTCTAGGCCGTAGGTCCGGGCTTACAAGTACCCCTAGGTCTCTTTCACAAGTCGACTTCTCTAGGTTGATGTTGTTAAGGCGCTAAGCACTGATTGTTACTCTAACAGTTGTTTCTTTCTTTCCAGTTGAAATTGTTAACTTTTGTTTATCACTTGTGGGTTGATGGTCAATCTTTGCACTGTACTGTTAGTGGGAGGATGATGATAAATCCAGATGGGGAAGAGGAGGGCCCGACAGACCGGACTGGAAGCTGTCTCCATGGTCAAGAGACTACGGCCGTATCAGCGGGCAGTGCCGACTACACACGTCCATGACTCCTTTCCCTATGAAGGGTATAAAGGCGACCTGTGGTGTAATGGTTAGCATGCTCGTATCGCAAGTGAGCGGACCCCGCTTCGATCCTCGGGCATGGTAAAACTATGGGCAAGTTTCTTTAGGCCATTTGCCTCTGTCTACCCTGCAGTAATTGGGGACCTGGATGTTAATCGATGTACGGATCGTGTTCCGGGGTAATGGTTAGCCAGTGCAGTTGGCGAGTTGTCCGGTCTTCTTGGACTATTCCTTGACGCTAGGTCATGCAGCTCCTTAACTCAGGGTGTGGTTGTTGTTTTGGTGACAGCTTCTACACCTTAAGCAAATTTATGCCTAGGTGGCACTAGGGTCGGCCATCCACGTTACACGAGAAGCAACCATAATATTTTTGTATGTATGTATGTATGGACCTACAGATCATCACACAATAGACCTTCAAACAGGTGTAAATTATCCCCAGGTGTGTTGTTGTCTCACCCAGGTCCTGGCGCCCATGTACGGGGGACCTGATATTACCATGTGGGAGAAAGTGGGCGTTCCTACAGGTAAATTTAACTTAAACTAACCTAACCTGTGCTAGATTAACCTAACCTAACCTAGTTCAGCCTAGCCTAACCTAACCTAGTTCAGCCTAGCCTAACCTAACCTAGTTCAGCCTAGCCTAACCTAACCTAACCTAGTTTAGCCTAGCCTAACCTAACCTATCGTAAGTTCGTAACCTAACCTAATCAATAAAGGCGATATAGATAAAGTTCTTATAATATCCGAGCAGGATAGGACTCGTAGCAACGGATTTAAATTGGATAAGTTTAGGTTTAGGAGGGGGATAGGAAGGAACTGGTTCACAAATAGGGCGATGGACGGGTGGAACAAGCTTAGCAACTTTGTAGTAAGTTTTAAAGGGAAGCTGGATAGATTCATGGATGATAGAGAGTGGTAGTAACTCTCGACAGGAGCTGCCATGCACAGGCCAACCAGCCTATATTCTTATGTTCTTATGTTCTAACCTAATCTACTATAATATAACCCAACCTAGTATATAATATAAACCTAATTTATCCTAATCTAGCTTAACCTATCCTAACCTAGACGAACCTAGTAAAATTTAGCCTATTCTAAATTAACTTAACCTAGCTTACCCTAACCAAACCTAGCCTATCCTTACCTAAACTAACCTACTCTAACCTACCTAACTTAACCTAAATTATACATATGAATAAAATGGAAATATGTTTAATTTAAATGCATCACACTGAGATAAGTATAATGTATGTATGTATGTATGTATGTATGTATGTATGTATGTATATGTATATTTGCTAACTATCGCAGATAACAGACATAACGTGTGATGAATATTCTCTCTCTATCTATCTATCTCACAGGTTCACTACACAGCCCAGACGAGAGATATTTCTGGTACCATCACTCGCACGGAGACACCCTCAGCGTGATCGAATCGGGGCTCCTCGATCTCTGCCTCGCCGTGTGGACTGTTATCGCTTATGTCACCGCCGATATCACCCACAACCTCCCACACCTATCCCTATGAGGTGTCAAGATGGCGCTGAAAATGTACAGTGACTCTACCCTAAAAGTAAGAACGTGATGTAATTGGTCCATTGAAGTTCCCAATCCGAGGTAATATGGAAAATGGCGTCCGATTTTAACTGAGACTCTATAGTTATATGATTTGCTAACGGTAAAATGAATCGTCGAAACTTTGATACAATGAAGCCTCGAACCTTTGATACAATGAAGCCTCGAACCCTTGAGATTATGAACCCTGTTAACGTTTTATTATTATTATTATTATTATTGTTATTGTTATTGTTATTGTTATTATTATTGTTGTTGTTGTTTCATATTTGTTCAAGGGAAATAAAATATTCAATAGAATAAAATACTAATTATTTTTGTATTTTTTAAGTATATATAACCCCTTGAGTGTGATGACTTAACCCCTTGAGTGTGATGACTTAACCCCTTGAGTGTGATGATTTAACCCCTTGAGTGTGATGACTTAACCCTTTGAGTGTGATGATTTAACTCCTTGTGGTAGTGGCTGTGGTGCTAATACTAATTATTAGTAGTATTTCTTTTTATTCCTCTATTCTTAATTGAGTTTCATAATAAATTAAAATAAACTTACACTGAATGAACACTTTATAGCTATTCACCACAGTCATCCCTTGAGTACCAGATCTGAACCCCCAAACCGAGTATAAGAATATCCAAACCCACGAATCTCGAACTCCCGAACCATCGCTCTCCAGACCCGCAGTATGGTGGTGGTGGTGAGGGTCGATATGGCCGGGTTTACCACTGTTTTGCCCCGAATGCCAGTATTGACTAGTTATTCCTTGGTGACGTAACTAACACCACCCGTATATTCACTACCATTATTCACCATCACGGCGCCACGACAAACATTACATAATGATAATATTTTGCTATTCTGTAGTGAACGATGTTGTGCTGTAATAATAATAATAATAATAATAATAATAATAATAATAATAAACTAATATAAGCATCTTCCTTTCTTTAATACACATATAGTAAAAATAATAACACCTGTAATTAATCACCTGTAGCGTCCGTTGGCCAATCAGATCAACACCTGTGGACCTTCGATAAAACGCTAGAGAAACAATGGGCAGAACAAGATATCCTGTTGGACTGCAGATTGCTTGTTTAATCGAAGGAATCATTCACCTTTCACCTCCATTAGTGTTGATGGCCGTGCTGGTAGGGGAGAGGGAGGGGGGGTAGGTTGGAGGGGGGAGAGAGGGGTGTGGTTCTTCTCTCACTCGTATATAAAGGAATGGATCACAAC